TTCTTTTTTATTTGAGCGCACAAATTTCAACATTGCACAAATTTCAACATGGTTTACCCTAAATGAAAATGAATTATTCAATTTATGTGATGAGATATCATCAATAAAACTGTTATTAGTGAACTGTAAATAACTAGCATTTCTTATTCGTGATGCAATAAAGAAGGCCTCGTCCGCAAGATTGCAACATTGGAACCATAAATTTATTGTACATCTCTTATAACTTAATTTTTTTTTCTTCTCATTCTCTTAATAAAACAATTTTTCTTTCCCATTCTTTTACTGCTGTGTGTAGTCCTCCTTGCATAAAATAAACAACAACGCGGCAGAGCGATTCCTTTATTTCTTTTTTATTATTTTTTGTGTTGCAAAATAAGCTCGAAAAGAGAATGAGCAAAACGAAAACTGATAATAATGTTAAATAAAAGACAAAGAAATCCGATAAAAATTACTATACTCAACCAATTTGAATTTATAGCGAGGAGAGGAATATTTATGCGTCGATGATCACATGGAAGTTAATGAATTCAAGATATACTTGTTGAAATATAATTTTTCTTTTTCATCTTTATGTATATAAATATATTTTTCGTGAAGATTTTAGCTGTAGGGATGCTCTCTCTGATCAAGTACTCTCTACCATGCTGAGTCGTGTGATTTTTTATTTCTGCAATCATTCTTGCCGTGTTTTGCTTGAGGATCATCACACACACGGAAAGAGGAGAAGTAAAAAAAATCAAGTTTTTTCCACCAATTTTATGGACGTATTTAATTAAATACCAATCACCTCAAGGCAATCATTTTTGCTTGGATTTCTTCGTAGACATTTCGTCTAAAGAGATTTCGTGAATCACATTCCATTCGACTCCTCTGTTGTTTGTGTGGGGCATGCATTAAGAATTTTTTTTTATTACTTCAAATTAACTCATTAATTGTCAGTGGAATTATATCAATTTGCGGTAGAAGCTCGTTTACCTAAACCTGAAAGCCTTCGTAGAAAAGAATCTCTTTATGAATGTTAGCTCTATAGACAAGACAAAAAGGGAAAAATATATAAAGAAATAAAAAAACATTAATTATAGTTTATAACCATTCGAAAAATGAAACATCATTTTTTCAACATAGCTCTTCGACAAACGAACATTCTTTCGATCCGTTGAGTGAGATGAATAAACTAAAGGCACTTATTAGACAATATTTTTCATCATTTGCCCTTTGTCTCATCTCTCTCTTTTTTAGCCATCGAGTTATTAGCACTCCGGGGTAGTAAAATGGTTGTAGCTTTGTCTAATCTTCTTGATCTGTATGGAAAGACTTTTTAGGATGATGGGTAGGTTTAAGTACATCAGTATTGCAGTTAGACAATGATCTTACGCAAACGAATTGAGGACGTTCAATGGAAATTTCTAGTTGGATTTGGGTGGTTTTTTTACTGTTTTGACGATAAAACTAAGGATAAATAATGTATTTAAATTAAAAACAACGAAGTTTATTCTTCACTGATCAAATATAGACGAATTATTTCTATGAAGGGGTTAGCAACTTTATAAAAGAAAATCAATTGATTGTAGTTGTATAATTTGAATATGAGGCACGTGTTAATATTGGTTAATATATTCTAAACAAGTATTTCAATAACTACATGATGCTAATTCAGAACAAAGGATTTATTGATAATGGCTAAGGTTTGAACCAGATTTAACGATTACATCATAAACGTGGCTATACTTAGACTCAGAGTTCTCCCAATTCAAGTGATAAGAACAAATCAATCTTGCTAAATTCATATTATTGATACCAATCCAAATGCGTTCTTCCAATCACAATTGATGCACTACCCAACTTAAATCTTCTGTCTTTAAAGATTTCAAGATTTCCGGTCGGCAAAAATTCAATCATTCTTCATGAAAATGTATTTATAATGGGAACGAGAATGATCATTTTTAAAAAAGTTTTGAAACAACGAGAAATATAAAAAATATCAAAATTGACAGAGTCATGAAAATTGATTATGTGAACGAAAATAAAAAATCAATTTTTCTGCCTTGCAGTTAGCCAGAGACAGAGAACGATCAGTAGCCAAAAATCACATAATAATGAAATATATTTTTATATAATTTTAAAAATAAAGTTATCATCATAATAATAAGTGATGAAGCGCTTAACAAATAGTTGGTCAAGCAGCGTCAGATATATGGTATTACGCTTATGCCGCCATATTGTCTAAAAAATATTTATATTTTCCAGTCCGTCTGTTATATTTTTTTTTCACATACATACAGAGAGGCAAGTTTCGTGTATTAATAATTTTGCTTTTGCCTTCTCTTCGCGTATAAATGAAAATATTCTACAAGAAGTATAAATAAAATACTTTATAAAAAAAACTTTTTAAAAAAACTACGTTTTTCGCGTAGACTAAAAAGTAGAAAATAACTTTTATTCTTGGTTGTAAAGAATTTGGTTTTAAATTTTCAGATTATATTTAATAAATTTTTATATCCTAGTCAATATTGTTCACAAAGTTTCGAATAAGTGCACTTTGATCTTATCGTATAACTCAACAACTTAAAAACGTGGGCGCATTATAAGAGGAGAAATAAGTTTATGTGAAATCAATACTTTATGATAAACTTAATTAGTAAAGTACATTAAAAATCACTCGTAAAGATTTTGTGTTTATCCGAACCATTCCTACTACATAACGTGTGGATTCTTAACATAAAGATGCAAATCAAATCTATATGTAACGTATTTATAACGGATTTTCAAATTTAAATTCAATGAATATCATTCATATGTTATGCAAAAATACGTCAAGCCATTAATAAAAAGAAAAGTCAATTTAATTAAGTTGGTGAAGTGTTATAAATAATGCAATACATTTAAAACAGCATAAATTTATACTCAATCAATGTGTGCTAAATGCACATCGCATATTAATAGTTATTTTGCATAAATTCGTAACGGACTTGTGCTTAACGGTTTTTTTGAAAATTCAAATTTTCATTTACGAATATTCATGAAAAAATTACATGTCAATTTTTTTGTCTTACCAGAATATCTTTAGCTGCTCAAATTTATGGTATAATTAATAATTAGTAATATTAATTAAACTATAATGAATCATATAAATGACTTTAGAGCATCACAAGTATAATATTTTAAACAAATCAAAATTTCATATCATTGACATTGGATTTTTCTCCCAAATAAAAAAGTTTTATTAAAATTGTACTATAATTAAGCATTTTTGTGGTTCCAATGTGTTAAAATATTGTATTGTCACCGGGAATACGTGTGAATAAAAAAAATGAGCTCGATTGGAGCAGTAGAAGTGGTCGAAAAATTGATTGCAAGATTTGACCAAGACAAACAGAAAGACAGAAAGACAAGAAAGCAAGTTAAGAAAAACGTGGTAAAAAAAGCAGGCAAACAAGACGATACACAAGAATTATAATGCTTATAAAATTTGTATTCCTTCGATGATAAACAAATAAAAATGCAAATAATAATCAAATTATACATTCTTACCTTAGATCTTGTTGTTGACTTCCACGCGATCCTTCAAGATGTAATTGTGCATTTGAGATTTGCAATAGCTTAAGGCTGAATTGTTTCACTTGATGGATATGAGTTCCAATTATATTTTGGCAAGATGATTAAAAGACTGAAATTAGTTCACAAATTATATGAATCTCAATGTCCTTCTCTGAAGTCAAGTATTATAAAAATTACAGTGGGTTTGGCAAGGTCGAGTTTTGCTTAAAATATGTGGATAATGATGCAGTTTTTGATTAATCAAATTAAGTTGGGATTAATTTTCGTTTATGTCTGGCAACTTTCACATTTGTTGCTAGCTTCATTTGCTAAGAATCGAGCATGTGCTTGCAATCAGCTCTTTGTTTCTGTATCATAAAGTTTTTATCGTCTTTTGAGCATTCCGCTAAAGTTGTGCTTTGATTTTAACCTTATTTCATAAATCTCATATGTAGCAATGACGCTCACCCAAAGAACATTAGTATCCTTTAGAAATAAAGCATCTAAATCCCCATGGAAGTCAAAATCCACAAATTGTTATCCACGTTTCATATTTTAGTTTAGATTTCCTTCGTCCATAAAATAAATTCCTTTTTGCGATCTGTCCTACTCAATAACTTAAAGACGAATTATGCGCAATTCATTGTTTGAAAATTGGTCTCATTTTATCATCAATAAACAATTTTGTGGTTGTGGGGGTTCTTAAATTGGCAGGTGATTGAGAAATGATCACGGTTGGGATTGTTCTTGACGATTCTTATGATATGAGACTCTTAGACATGTGGTGATGAGCATGTTTGTTTAAAAATGAGAATTGCACCTGAAACAGCTGCAAAAAATAGACTTTCAACCTTCAAACTGACAAAATTAATAGCCGCAAAGTCCCAAAATTTCTGAAAATTAAAACCTGCAAAATTGAGACCTTTTTTTCGGTCAGAACCTCTAACAGCCTCTAGCTAATCATCTCGCGATAAAATGTTTATGATCATGATGATGATTTTCTGCATTTTTTTTCGTTCCTTGAACGAGAATATTTTTTATTATGTCCAATTAAGTAGAAAAGTGGTGAAATCAGAAGAGAAAAATCTACTACAGAGGTTATAAATTTTGTGCATTCTTCTTATGTACGTGAGTTTCTCCTTAATTCTGCAAATAATATAAAATTAAGCTCTCATAGCTTTCAGGCCTTATATTTATAAACGGCATTATATATTGCTTGTTCTGAAAAAGATGAAAAGCTAATGATGATGGAATACCTCCCTGAAACGTTCAATATATTTTCTAAATGACTTTATTATGTATCGATATCTTTTTAATGTTTCTCAATTTTTTATAAATGCGAAATGAGTAAAAAGAAAAAAATGTTGGATTTTTAAGAATTTCCAAATATTTTTTTTATAATTTTTTTTTATTTTTTTTATTTTATTTTTCTGAAAAAATTGCTTTTTTACTTTTTAAGCAATGATTTTTTAGGGCTTCATCTTCTTTGAATAAATACATACTTTGCCATTTTATTACAAAATATAATTGCTTCACAATTTATTAATATTATTATCTTAAACTGTACAAATTGATAAGTTGTTGTACCATTTATAGCTTTTTCCTTTCAATAATTAATATTTGTTCCTTATGATTTGAAATTGAGCTTAATTAATGATCGACTGAGAATAAAACAATACTTTTAAAAATTACAAGCTGGAGTCATTTAATCTTAAATTCGATCATTAAAAGTCACCTCAAAATCTAAATTTTTAATTCTCTAAAGAAAAGTAATTTTGGTACAAGAAATAAAATTTTCTGATTTATTTTTCAAAATGAAAACTTTTTTATTTTTTTCAATTTTTGTGATTTTCAAACACTGGTTTTCAAATATACGAAAATTTTTCTATATTATAATTCAGTAATTTTGTTTGAAATCGATTGAATAAGGTTTGGACATATTTAGCTGAATTCAGCATTATTAGGACACGTTTAGCTGAACTCAACATGATTATGACATTTTTAGCTGGATTCAGCTTAAGAGAAATTAAATTTAAAACTATAAAGTTGAATTGAGCTTAATTCAGTTCTATTCAGCTGCATTTAGCTGAATTCAGCAACATTAAGTGCATAACTTTCCAGATTTTCTAACTCAATCGATTCCACCAACAAGATTTAAATGTTCTTTTACATTAAAAAAATAGAAATTCATTCTTTGATCAAAATGTTTTTGTATTTAATTTACATTACAATCTACATTTTCCTCATATCAGTTAAAAATTGTTCTTATTCTTACTATAATTAATATTTACATGGATCCTAAGTCTAAGTCATTAAGCAGATAGTATTCACAATATAAAAATATTTTATTTGTTTCTTGCATTTTTTGTGTCCTTTTATACAAATTAAAAAAATATACAAGAGTTTGTTTCTACAGTATGATCCTCTCCTAACGCTTTTTTTTGTTTCTTACAAAAATTTGATAATTGAAAAAAATCTCATGAAGAATATTTCTTTGAGTATTCAATAAGTTTTCTCGAATAATAATTAAGGCACAGTTTCAAAATACTTGTTGACATTTAATATAGGCACATTTTAGTACGGATTCTATTACGCAGCAAATGCGCGCATTGCCGTATGAATAAATTTAATATATTTTATATTTTTTCATGTATATTACATATGTATATCTTTGTAGACTCTCCAGACGAGCTAAACTGGTTTCATTTGCTATATATCATTATTTATATTTATTATTTATCGGCAACCGCAGCCAACTACTGTCATATCTTGATAATTTTTCAGTACAACTTTATTTTGATCATCCAAATATAGCATCGAGATTGATGATAGTTGTGTTGGTACACAACAAGCTTTCGGTGCTAAACTATGATTAATTGAATGAACTAAAGTTTGTACAATTGCATGATTTGTTGTATTAAGATGATCAGCAATTGGGAAATTGCATTCACCGTGACAATAGAATGCCTCGTAACCTGGTGGTGCTACAATCCAATCATTCCATCCTACGTCACTAAAATCGACATATAATGGTCTTCGTTGACATATATCGTGATTATTTTTTCTTCGATGATTCTTTCGTCCACCTGGTGCTCGTCGTGAACGATTTGCGTCCCGAATTGAACGCTGTTTGTATCGTCCATCGTCGGTGTAAGTAAATAATATGGGCTGTGCTTGTGCCCAAACTTCAGGACTATCATCTATACTCCTTCTAAGTCTAATGTGTTGATGTGATGGCAAATTGATTGAGTCATCAATTCTTATTGAATTACTATCATCTATACTTGATATGTGAATTAAGACGCCATGATTACGCTTTGGTTCACGAAGCCAGCGCTGCACGGCTGACATTACATTAAGACTTACACTTCCAGTTTCATTTATACTGACTATCTTTGTATCAGCCAATCTGAATATTGGCTTACGATTTTTGTGTTTCCTTCCCGGTCTCACAATGTCAAAAACATCAATTTGATGTCTTACATGATTCACATTTTTGATTTGATTACGATTAAATGTGATTTCTGCGTCCCTCAGTCGCTCTTTGTCGGGTATATTTGATATATTAAAAAAGAGACGAAATCTATTGTGATATGTGAAGCGATTGTCCACATTACTTTCTGGAAAGACACAAGAAAATAAAAATAAAAATTAATTTCACTATTAAATATCCAAAGCATCTTATAAAAATCATTTTCTGAACAGAATATTCACATAAAATACCAAAATATCCACAAACAGAATCAATATGACAGAATCGACAGCTCTTTTGTGGCCAGGTGTGATATTTTCTCGCACATTTGTTCTTAATTTTTTTTTTGCTTCATTCCATCGACTTTGTTTATTGACTTAAAGCTCTTTTTATTCATCATATCTCATAATGGCTAAGAGGAATTTTTTTTGACATTCTAAGTGAATGGAACTTGTTTGCTTCATCGTCAACATTCTCGAGAAGATAAAAAAATGTATAAATATAAATATCTTTTTTTTTCGACTCAGAACTGTTCTTTAAATGCTATTTTTGACGTCTTTAAATTTATACGGCTGTGCCTTTACCATATATCTTGTTTTCTTATCTATATAATTAATTTATTAAAATCAATTCGAATTAATTTTGAAATATTTCTGGATTTGACTTGAAGCTTGATATAACTTTATATATTTTATTTAACTATTAAAATGTTTTTTGAAGAATTTTTGTATTTTTTGCTGCGATTTTAATTATTTTTCTTAAGTTTGTAAAAACGTTTGAAGTTTTAAATCATAAAATGGTAAATAATTTGACATTTTAGGATAAAAAATCTTAATTCAGCACTATTTAACTTTAAAAGGCTAAGCTCAGCATTTATTCAGCTAGAACCTGCTGAACTCAGCACTATTCAGCAAAAAACTGTAGAATTCAGCACTTGCAATTTTGATCTACTGAATTCTGCTCAATTAAGAACATTTTAAACCAACACTTTGCCATTCTAGACATCCTTACTCATCCTGAGCCAACCCAAATCCTTTATATCCAAAAATTCCCATCCATAAAAACCATTAAAATATTAAAATGTATAAATCATTTTTCAATGATAAAAAAATATGTCCGAGTCCCCAATAAAAATTCCTCATCGACTTTATTCACATCTTAAACTAATGCTAATTGATGAAAAATTTTCTCATGGAATGTTGATCGGTCATTAATAAATCACGAAAAATTTATGCAAATCTTTATTATCTGACAAATTATCGATTCCAATAAATAAAGAAATAATTTTGTGATGAGGCAAACGAGAGGTGAGTTTGAGGATTAAGTTTGATGTGAGATAACTTAATAAGAGTGGATGTTAATGGGAATATAGAGGAACTATATGAAAAATCATAAATTATAAGTTTAAATTCACAATTGCATTGTAAACATCCATTTCAATCAGTGCCTATGCCTTGAAAACACTTTTTTAAAACATATTTTCACTTTTTTTTGTTATTAAATAAATAAATATCATTGTAAATCATTTATAGTATGATGTAGGTGTAGGTTTTGACGTACTTAGAAGTGTTCGCAGATGTTGAGAAATTACCCAATAAATAAGATTAAAAATGAATCTAAAATAATTTATTGGAAATTTATTTCACATGAAACGAAAATTGAACGCATTTATTCTCATAAATGCAAATTGATTATTTTATTAGGAAAATTAAATTAAACAAATTCACAACTGGATACTCGGTATAGAAACAAGAAAAATTCAAAGAAAAAGGCTTAAAGTGCCTATAAATATTTCAATAAGTTAAGTTGAAAGTTTTTCGTAAACAAAACTTTTCTTCTGACGAAATTGTAAATGCAAAAAAAAAAGAAAATTAAGCCGTTAAAAATTATTTTTTGAAAAATAGGGAAAGAGGAGAGCTATTACCGAGAAAATCGCGTTCTTCTTTCGCGAGCAAAATTTTCATTTGAATTTATTGAGTTAGGAATTGTGTATTCGTGTCAAATTTCAAAATAGTTTACAGTTCGATTGCTTTGAAATTGAAACAGAAGGAAGAAATTTCCATTCTCGTGTGTGTTTCCACTGCTCGAGAAACCTAGAAAATTTATGCGCGTCTGGAAAAGTTTTTTATAGTGTGAAAAAAATGCTACTTTTATGTGAGAAATATACGGATAGATTTATTGACGGTCGTAGATTCATCTTTAACCTTTACACGTTTTTAATAAGCTACATTGCTGCTTCGTTCTTGCAACAATCTTGCTACGAATTTTCATTTCTATTTTAAAAATTTCACTTTGCAAAATGCAAATTTATTACAACATTTTGTGGCATGTTTAAGTTATAGATCTTTACTTTGTGGATATATAAGACACGTGTGTAGTTTCTCGTGAAAATTTGCACTTCAAAGATACTCATTTCTTGGTACTTTTTGAGTATCGCCAGCTTTTGCATTCTATGAGTTGTAGACAGGTTAATAAGAATTTTCGAAATGCTTAATGATTGGCTTAATTCTTTTGAAATATTTGATTTATCTTAACTCTCCTGAATAAGCTGAATTCTACTGAATAAGCTAAATTCTACTGAATAAGCTGAATTCTACTGAATAAGCTAAATTCTACTGAATAAGCTGAATTCTACTGAATAAGCTAAATTCTACTGAATAAGCTGAATTCTACTGAATAAGCTATGTTCTATTGAATTAGTTGAATTCTACTGAATAAGCTTAATTCTACTGAATAAGCTGAATTCTACTGAATAAGCTAAGTTCTATTGAATTAGTTGAATTCTACTGAATAAGCTGAATTCTACTGAATAAGCTGAATTCTACTGAATAAGCTAAGTTCTATTGAATTATTTTAGCTAAACTGAATAAGCTGAACTCTTCTGAATAAGCTAAATTATGTTGAACTCAAAATAATCACGCCAAATTCCCCTTAACCTCTTAAATTTACCAAAAACAATAAAATTCAACAATTGCATCTTTCTATTTTCTAGAACCTCTTTTACGTAAATCTCACCCCCATTCCTCATCACAATTTTTATTAATCTCATTACCCAAGAAAGACAAGTAATTTTCTTGAATCTGATACAACGTAGTATCTTCACAAGAAACTCCATGCACAATTGTTTATTTGAAACTTTTAGTTCTCGTTTTTTCTTTTGGGTTCAAGGAAAAACGAAAGCCGATAAAGTGCTATAAATATTGTTCAATATAAACATCGGAGGTGAATCTAAAGGAGAATCGATTTTCCCACAAAATTGCAAGTTACGAAATTCACCTTCCTCTTTTTGATGTTTCTTAAAAAAAAGTGTGTTTAAGTGAATTAATATTTCTGTCAGCACATCGTTTCATGAAGTTGCCAAGCGAAAAAAGAAAAGTTGGTTAAAATCTCAATTTGTGTAAAATCATTTTGAATTTCTGTTCGGAAAATGTTTTTTTTTTCATATTTTAAAAGAAAATGTTCGACTCACCTTCGTGTGTGTAACTTCTTATTGTATTGGCTTCTCTGTTATTTAAATCTGCCTTTGGTGCATCTAGTTCTGTCTCTAATTCATGACCCGTTATTTGGGCGTAGAGTTTTTTCATAGCTTCTGGGATCACAATTTTTGATCTATCAACTTTGGGCCTCTTCTCGAAGCCAAAGAGCGATAGAAGATTCTTCTCAATTTGGACTAGCGTTTGAGGATCAGGCTTATCACCTCTATGATAATTATCATTTTCTATACTATTACTTAAATCTAAACTATTACTATTACTGTCTAATGATGAGGAATCTAATGATGATTTCATTGTTAATGATTTTAACGATAATGACGACGATGATGAAGATGAAGTTGTGTAAATTAATGAAGAAGAAGACTTTACTTCCTCGGTGCTAGCGACGTGCTGTCCATTGAATGTCGCCAGCACCGCAAGGACAAAAAGCCACGTTCGCATGTTTTTTTCGCAATTCTGCAATGAGAAATAATAATAATAAAAATTTAATTAATCGTCAATAATAAAAAAAAAATTTCAAATCACTTTTGAAGCAATAAGATTTGCTTAATTTGCAATACACAGATGCAAAAAAAAGTTGTTTTTCAATTCCCTACTTATATAAATAAATGCAGTAAACAACCATATTCATGTATTTAAGGTTTTTTGTTCTATAAATAAATTCATTATGATTAATATTACACTAATCGAATGTATTTTTAATTTACTCTGATATAATGTTACTTGACTCAGTTTATAATTATTTTTATAATCATAAATTACTGCTAATATGCTTGCGATTATAGTATAACGAGATTATATTTCATGTTTACTGAGTTTCGTGCGTTTAAATGCGGTTTTTTACATCTTTTGATGCAGATTGTCCGAACAAAAAATTGTTTATATTGAGTTTATTATTGTGAGAACTTGTATATTATGATTCATTCAAGTTACAGCTCTTGTTATTAATTTGATTTTGCTGAGTTATAAAGGGGCCGTTCAATTATTACGTTCGCATTTTAGGGGGGAGGGGGTTTTGAAAAATTATAACAAAATGTAATATGGGGGGGGGGGGGGGGGGGTGGTGGCAAGAATTATGTAACGTTCTAACTGTCGTCTGTTTTTTAAAAAAAAAGTTCACGAAATTTTTTTACAAATTCACACCAAAAACATTTTTTTAAATTTTCCACCTTTTTAATGATTTATGAAAAATTATCAAAATAAAATAAATTATGAACGTTCACGGGTTGTGAGTTGTAACATATTGTAACAAGGGGGGGAGGGGGGGGGGTGAAAAAGTCGTTTTTTGCGTAATGTAATAAGTGAACGGCCCCAAAGTATATCATTGTAATTTCAAGCAATTTTATCAATTTAAAATAACAAACTTGATTGACTTCGAATTGTCTTAAATTGTATTTAAATATCAAAAATATGTTAATTCTTATAGAGATAAAGACAAGTGCATTGACTAATTTTAATGCTGTTTGTCTTCTCTTGTACAATAACTTATTTACTCAATTCCATGTATTAACCACTTTAATCTATGTAAGCCACTTAGTCATTCTATTTTCAAGTGCTCTACCTGTGTCGATGTGAATCAAAAAGTGATGATTCATTTGCCTTTGCGAAATTCATAATTTTTGTGTGTCAATTGCAAGGATTTCTGTTTTTGCGAAGGTAATATTGGAGTGAGCGTAAAGAGAATCATCAAAATGCACAACGGGAGATGTATCGATGCCATTATTGACATTCAAAAAACAAAGACAATTTCTCATATCTCATAAGTATGTTAAAGCTATAAAATAATTCTCGTACTTTTCTCTTTCAACTACTTTACTACCTATTGGTCTTGTTAAGTGGCCTCTGGAGTGAAGTAGATTCTTAAGAATGTAATAAAAAATAATATTTCAAGTGCCTTTTCTTTGTCTTTATGAGAGGACTACACAGGGATTAGTATATATTTTGTATTTTGTGTTCTTTCACCTTTTTTCCTTCTGCATTTACACATTTTAAAATAAAAATTATTTAAAGACCTTTTCTCTCTTTTTTTTTCTTTGCTAGACAATCCGAAAGGTGGATTCAGTTCACTCTGTGTGTGACTGACTGTTATAATCTCTTTCTTTTCTTCATCCTCCTTCTATTTTCTTCTTTATATTTACTTTTTTTTGTGGAGAAAATAATTGATTATTATTGTTGTTCATTATTAACAATCTATGTATGTATGTACATTCATAGATATGCGTTAGAACATTTTTTATGGGCGGGATTTAATGAAAAAGAAAACGTGGTATTCAAAAATTGAATTAAAATAGAGATCTTGCGAATGTCATTAAAGAAATGAGAAAACCATCTGCTATGAAGTCATCATTAAAAATTAATTAGAGTAGATATGTATCTTTATAGATGTTATGTTCATAGTTTATAGATTGTGGTTTGTTTTTGGAGGTAATTTAAATTGATAGTCTTGTAATGTGATGGAATTTAGTGTTTTTATGTCTTAAAATGCCTGGATTCTTAAACATTTAGATAATTTTGGTTAAAAAAACTAAGGTTGAATTTACAAAATCCGTTACAAATTTAAAATTCAAAAAAAGATAAAAATTTAAAATTTAAAAAAATCGTTGAAGTTTGATGCTTTAAATTCCAAATGTTTGCAAAGAAAATCTTTAAAATCTAAAATGCCGTTAAGTTTTAAACTTTGATGAAAATTTGATTCTAATATACCCGGTAAATGAATCCATATGAACATTAAGTCAGCACAATGCCATCAATTACTTAAAAGAATACTCCTCGATTCTCATCGTATTCCAATTTCTAGTTGCACACATATCTTTAACAAAACATATAATTTGATACCTTTTAAGTATTCATTGTTAACTGGATTACAATCGTCAGTCCAGCAATAATCATTGACTTATTATAAATATAAAAAAAAGGTATGAGGAAACAGTCACTTAACAAGGAAATCATAATGAAATGTAAAACGGTGAAGACGAGAAAGAAGACACAAAATAAATAAAATAAAAATTCTTTCCATCACATCTGTTGCGCATTTTTGCTGTCATTATTTCGTGCACCTTTCGAGAAAATTTTATATATATTTCGGAAATTTTTGTGTGATCATACGGTGAGCCCACGTATGAAATTAAAGACAAAAAGGAAAAGAATTCTTGACTTTGAGTCGATTGAGGATGAAGAATTGACTAAAAATTACCTCGATCCCTTTTTTTCTATCTAAAATGATCCCAAGATCCTTATCATCATTTGTAGATTCTATAATAGAACCAAAAAAATTTTATAGAAGGAAATGAGGCACTTGAGAATTATCTATTTTGAAAAAATCATCAATTAGAGATACAAAGAAAAAGGACAGGAAGGCGAAAATATCGATTTCTTAGAAATTTTTGTTGTGTATGGTATAAAAGTTATAGTGCTAAAATCACTTTTGTTGTGCATGTCCAACAAAAAAAAAGTGAAAAGAGAATGACAGAAAAACCAACAAAAATCCTGTAAATCTGTTTAATTTCCGAGGTATTTTACTTCGGCAAGTTCATATGAGTAGCTTGTTATATGTAGGCACATTTTCCAGGAATCATAAGAATCCCTTGATCTTTACAACATGATTATGCTATATAGCACTGAAAAAGGCTCTATGTAGTGCATTTCTGGCGCCCAAATGAATAAGCCATGTCATAAACGAACGAGACAAAGACGAGAGAGATTGTGACAAGCTTGAAGCAACAGCAAAAAAAAGAGAAATTGCGTGTCGTCATAAAAAAGAAGCATATTGCCAATTCAAGTGTTAGATTGTTGTCGCCTCTGGCATTATAAAAAATAATATTTTTTGAGGATGAGACTTTTTAACAAGAATTTATTTACTTTTTATGATAATCCACCTTTGACACTAAATTTTATGTTTGTTTTATTTTATAATGCTGAAAATTATTCAGCACCTAATTTATATTTTGAGTCTTTTTTTTCATCATCAATAAATTCATATTTTCGCAGCTTTAAATATGACTCAATTTAAATAAATTTATTTGATATAAAAATTCATCTGATTAAATATTGATCTCGTCTCTCTGTGAGGCAATAATTTTTTGTGAAACTCATTTTTTTCTCGCCTTTAAGTTTTAGTTTTTGATGAAATTTTGAAGACTTTACGTCGTCGACTTTCCATCGAATTGAGGTTCTTAATTTAATTTTAATATTAGACATTTTCTGAGGATAATCAGTAATTAATGTAAGGATTTATCTTGAAGCTTCAGTTGGGTAAATAGAACGGTTGGATTTAATTGTACTGATCGGCACTAATTATATTCTCAGACAATTTAAGAGGATATCGACTTAGAAAAGGATTTGGATAACCAGCTTAAATAGCGCCAACTTAGAAAAATTTCCCAGATTTATTTTGAGAAAGAATTCTTGAGAGTTTTGTGGATCTTCCGTATTGTTCTGTGCCTAATTTTTTTGTGGACGGAAAATTTTCATTTGTGAATTTTTTTAAAACTTGGGTTTTTTTCAAATTTGAATTTTTGTTATTAAGCATTAAGTTTTGAATTATTTTGAAAATGATGATAAAACCTAAAGCAACTGCTAATCAATAATACGGAATTGATAAATCAATTTTTGATTAGTTCCACAAGTTTTCTCTTCATTGTAATTGATTTATTAATTGAATTTCCTTATCATGAGTTCTGTTGATGCGATTTCAATATTTTGAAATTTTATTAATTAATTAATTCCAACAAATAAGTTGCTGATTGTTTTAAAGTGAAAGCTATATTTTTATTTCTAGATTTTTTTATGATTTCCTATTAGTCAAGTGTAAGTTTGAATTAAGGAAATCTTTATTTGAATAATTAAATTACAATCTTAAAAGTTCCGATCGTGTTATTTTCCGGATACAACAAGTTCAATGTTAGTGTTTATTAACTTTTAAAACTCATAAAAACTAATCGAATCGCACAATTTTAAGAATCACAAAATTTTAAATCAGTTTAAACAAAATGGATATTTTGTTTTTCCGTTTTATAGTTTTCAACTTTATTTCTACGAATTCAAATTTTTTTTCCAATTTTAAAAAAATTAAGTTGTAAACTATAAATCGGAACTTCAAAATAAACATTTTAGAATTTGAGATTATTAGTAGTAATAGTAATTAATTTATTAAATGAAATAATACAAAGTATGAATGAACAATTATTAATATTAGCTCTGGTCTGGCTTTAAATTAAATTTTACGTGATATGTGTTGGTAAATGAGGTTTGAGTTTTACGAAGTGAAATAATGGCCTAAAAAAGTTAAGAAAAAAAAAACGGCCTCTATGTTAAACTTAACGTTGAGATTATTATAATTGTGCGATTCTGTTACATTTGTAAGTTTTGTAATTTATCTTCTGTACTAAATATTCATTCTCTAAACGTATTTTAAAATATATTATTGCCACAACACCTGATGTTTGTTCAAATGTTTAAATGTAAAATAGACAAGATATAAAATAAGATATTAGATAATATCCTTTAACATTATCATATTGATTGAATTTTAAGCTTTTTTGCACACCTTAACAGTGATATCTTGGATAATATTATCAAATTAATTTTTGAAGAATTAAATCTTTCAAAAAATTAGTTCTAAAATCTTTAATCGATCTATTTATGAATGATGTTCATGAAATTCCAATAAGATTAATTTAGAACTTTTTATCAGATTAGCAAGAGGATGTTGTGATAATAAAGAAACTTGAATTTATTCTGGACCAAAATTTCAATGGAAAATTTCAGCGCAATAAATATTGATCTGGAAGCTTCTCACAACTTAAATAAACTCAATTTTTTATCACTTAACAGATTCATCAATAACTATGAACTTTTACGGACTAAGTTTGCACTTTCAAAACTTAGATATGACATGCACTGTCTTACTAGTCACATCAGTGCTGTATTTTTCACTAAGAACATTCATGCGGCTTTTAATAAAGATAATTAACAATAAATCGGTATGTACCTTAATATTAAGTCTGTTTAAATCCAACTAGTTCCTTTTTTCAATTAATTAAACTTTTTCTCGAATTTAAAATAGTTTGCAAATTCTTTTCTTTGCACTTTTGAGACTGTTTCTGAGCACTTTGTTGATACCTTTGATTGATCTCCTGAATACATTCACTTTCATTGTGATTATTTTCTTTTTTTTAAACTGCCGGAATTTATCAAAAAATTCAAAGCAAAAATTTATTTTTTTATCTCATCACAATAATTTCACAATTTTTATTTTCCTTATTTTTTTGTTGCTCCACTAAAATGTTTTAAATAATTTTTTTATATTTTTTTAAAAAAATTCATTTCATTTCTATAAAAAAATTTTATATTTTTTTTTCTCTCCTCTCAGAAATAATAAAAAAAAGGAAATCTTGACGCACAACACGTTTGCTTGAAATCAGAAAATAAACTAAAATTAGCATTAAAACTTATTATGCTTTATGCTTTTATTTTATTTTTTTTTTTGTTAACAAACACCAATAATCATTAACAATATATGTATCTATACACACATTGACATATGGAAGAGAAGATAAAGGCAGATGGACATAGAGAATGAGAAGAGACCCAGAAATCTTTTAATAGTGTGTGGTGCATCTATACACACACAAAATAAAATTAAGGTCCGATGAAACTTTTGTTTTTGTGAGTTCGATATGAGTGAGACAAGTGGAGTTATTGAAAGCTCTCACATCCAACACATACAATCACACCTTCATTCCCAGTATTGTCCTCTCTTGATTTTTAAGAAGTGCAAAAATAAAAATTCTGCCTGCATTTTGTTATTTTAACTAAGACACACTGCCTTATTTCTCACATCCACAAAGCTGCAGATTCACGTGTAATTAAAAAAATTCCTTATATCTCTCCATCTCACTCACATTCACAAGGATCAGGTAGAAAATTAATAACGGTTATTAAAGAAATATAACAAGCATTATGACAGATGGACATGGATCCTCGTGGATTTTTTGGAAGTTAAACCCTAAAAAAATTACGTTTCAATTCGGTAAGAATGAGAAGTTAAAAAATAAATAAACAAGAAATGATGTAAAAAGAAGAATAAGAATTATGTGTATATGTAAAGGATAAAGAAGTAACCCCACCCTTTTTTTCAATCTACACGTTTTTTATTGCTTCAAAACCTATAAAAAAGAAGTTCTACAATCTCAAGAGAGTCATCGCCAAAAAAAATATGTACAGTCGCGGGCCTCTCTCGAGCCAATCAGAGTGGATTCTATCCGAAAGTTTATTTTTTTATGTTCTTTTTTTTTTGTAGAGAAAAGAAGCATAAGATCTTTTTTATATTCTCTCATTTCACGTCCCATTGTTCAATCTTGTTAAGAATATTTTTTTTATGTTGCTGTGGGCCTTGTTGGGGGTGACTTCCATTTTCTTGTTGTGTAGAACTTGAATTTTGTGTGATTTTAGCTCCTTAAAATCAGATTTTTTGGAGGTTCTTGTAAGTCTTTTTTGATAAGTTTGTGTGAAAATTCTTAGAAGAAGTTTTTAGGAATATTTGAAGATTTTCTAAGTGAATCGGCTTTGAAATTCTTTAAATTACTTAATTATGTACTTAATTGCATGAAATTCTAATGAATTGCATCATGCGATCAAAAAATGATACAGAAGTCTAATAGTAAGAACTTTTCGAGTAATACTTTATTTTTAAGCATGATATTGAATATAACTTCAAAATAAAATCTTATAATCTCTTCATTAATCATTCTGCAGTTCATTACACCCACCAGACTTCATTCCTAAAGGATTACCGACACATCAACATCAATTCCGACCTTCACCCATTAATTACCCTCAAAAAAGATTCATCATAACTGCACTTGCTCCACATAAAACGAGATGAAAAGAGATTTTAAAGAAAAATCATCATGTCTGATTTGCATATTAAATGGAATAATAGCCCAACAACAACGAAAAAAAAAGATGCAAACATTCCATGAATAAATTAACACACTACAATATAATGTTATGTGTTGACTGTGAAAGAGATAGCGCGCGTCTACATATTGAGTAGCCTTCCGCAATTCCATTATAACCAACAAGGTCATTCAACAGCTTATAATAGCTACTAGACATTTGGACTCCAACAGCAGTCGATCATCAACGGCAAACTATTACATCGCACAATATTTATTGCCTTTTTCCCGTTTTTTTCGTATTTTATTTTTCTTTCTTTTCTTTTTCTTGCCTTAATCGCGTTGGAAATAATTTTTTTGTTGGAACTAAAAAAAATTTTAACAATTTTTTCTGTTTGGATTTTTTGAAGAATATTTATTGTGGAACTTTGGAAGAAATTTAAAAAAAAATTAGAAACATTTGGAGATATCAATATAATTTTATAATTGTAATGGGAAATCGAACCCTGAGAAGATATGATTCAGTTGTTTGATCACTTAGTTACTCAATGGGTCACATAAGCTTCGATATCACATTGGCAGAATCACCTTGATATGATTAAGAACCGAATGTGCCTTAATACTCACATACTTAATTAAGTCTATTTTGATCTATGGTCTCGGTTGGATGGCTACGGCTTGCCAATTACTAATACCAAGTGCAACACTGTCTCTCTAAACAGCTTCTTTCAAAGATTTCTCAAGACGTATTAAAACTAGGTTTTTCTGGTTAATAAAACAATTCTAAATCTAAGGTATAAGTCAAAATATCATCTCAGACTAATAACATTCATCAACAACAAACCATCAAATCACATAAATACCAATCATATTCAGACATAAAGAAATGAATAATGAAATAGGAAATTAAAATTACACATGAAGTTACTTGTAACGGTTAAAGACTATGATAAATGTGAAGCACCGTCAACAGGCTCATTTCTTCATTTCAATTTAATTCTCATTTATGTTTTACATTGTATAATTGTCGCAAAGACAGAGACCAGAAGAAGTGAAATTCTCGCATAGTAAGTGATTGCAAATTAACCACAGAAGCAAGGAAAGAAATATTGCAAAAAAATCGAATACATCGCCACAAACAACTCTTATTTAAGTAATTTGATACTTTTTTTGATCTCCAATAAAAAAAAAACAACCATCAATTCTTATTTCATAGGAATAAGAAGAAAAAAAAATGAGCAAAAACATTTCAGTACAAAGGAAGACCGACTTGTATTTAATTTTTGAATAAACATTGATATGCCCACTGTGCAGTGAAATGAAAATTTGAAACGACATTCGGTGGTCAATGAAGTCGTGTAAAACTTCATGAAAATTTATGTTCTTCTCATTTAGCAAATATATAAAAACGAGACCAAATGGGTAATGAATTAATAAAGAAAAATGAAATTCGATAATTTCTTTGATATTCTTAGCGGCAACCGAATTTGAGATGCATTTGAATGTAATGAGAACAAAGGCAAACTTTGCGATTTGAGAAATCATATTAGCAGAAATATATAGTTCATTAACTGCATCATTCCCTTTTCAAAACTCTTTTTGTTTTTTTTTTCTGTGGACGTCGTTATGTCTGAAAGTGAACAGAATGCAGCTGAGAGACACATTAAATGACAGCACAAATAAATGCCGCTTTAATTAGCCTTCATTCGTAAAATTTGCTTCCTGTTAATTGAAGGTAATTTAGAATCAGACTTAATCGTTGGGAAGGAAGGATATTGTCAGACAAAACATGTGTGATATCGCTTGTTTGTTTTTCGGATGTCAGATTTATTAATTTGAGTAGCTTGTGATTTGTTTTTTCGAGCGGTCTGTCATGTTGGGTTTGTAAGTTGAAGAATGACTGGAATTTCTAGTCTTGGACAGTTTCTTATAAGCTTACTCTTCAGTTCTGATGATAATTGACGGAGTTTGTTGAACTAGATAAATTTGGCACCAGCTTTGACTTCAAGAACTTGAAATTTGAGAATCCTTGGGTTTTCTAGTTATTTTATACGAAATTCTAACAGGATTAATTTTTTGACAAAATTTCAAACCTTAGTTCCGGCTTCGTAGTCTGTCCACGCATACAAATTCTTCTAATCAAAATTGTCACACAAACATTCTCACTTCCAATGCCATTTATCATGAACGTAACCAACTCTTGTTAACGGTTCACAACAATGTTTTCATAGCAATTTTCCACAGAAAGCAAACACAGTCTACAACATGACACGTGACCATTACAAGGTAGGTAGATCAATTTCTTTTGTAATGCTGTAACATTACCCACAACACACAATACAGCATAAAAAAGAGTCCCAAGCATTACAATAGAAATTAATTGAACATTAACAATTGAATATGCTTAAAATTTGTTTTTCTTTTCCTTTTTTACAGCCACTCGAATATTCTGAAGAAAAGATGCTTTCTCTCTTCTTGATCACTTAATACTTCTTATGGACAATTGATTCTATTCAAAACAACTTTTTTTTTTCTTTCGATTCTTTGCTTCCTTTTCTTCGCTTCTTATACAGTATACTCGAACATGTGAACGTCTCTTTTTTTGTGTGAATCTCCGTTTCTAATGAATATTGTATCACTAACAATAGCAACATGTCATAGGTCATTATTCATAGATCAAAATCACAATAGAGACAATCTCATGAGTATGTGTGTGTGTATGTGTGTGTACCAGAAAATAATCTCGACCAGACAGCTTGGCTCCGCAACACAATTGCCAACAAAAAAAGACATTGAAAAAAAAATGTTTTATGAAGAAAAAGAAATGCGAGAAGTCCATATGAATACTTTAAGTGGGCTTGGAATGTAATATCAGAGGAGAGAAAAAAAAACGTATAAAAAAAGATATTTGTTTGTGCTTATTTCATAAACTGCCTTGAGCTGTAACTGATTTGCGTACATTTATACTGTGGTTCACCGTTTGTGATTTAAATGATATTCGATAACTGTGTACTACATTTGAATAAGCCTAACTTGAATCTTAATTTTTTTTTCCTCTCCTCGCTATCTTCCAAGTCATATATTCAGCTATCGTGACGTAAAGGAAGCATTTTACGGATTGTTGCGAAATTTATATTCGTAAGCCAGTTGGACTGTCATTTTTGGTTCCAATAATAACGGGTAAAACAGAGTCGTTTTTATTATATTTCTGGTTTTTCTCCAACAGTAGCTTCATAAATTTCAAACTTTTTTTAAATGTATATAGATACATCTATACAGATATATGCTACATCTCTACACATATTTGTATTATAAACAGTACTTTGTGTGAAGAAGTTGAATTGACAAGTACAAAAATTTAATGGACTAAGCATTTTCTATGGATTTTGTATGATTTTTGGATCCAACTAAGGTTTGGTATTTTTAATGTCCAAAAATATTAATAATTTTTTTAAGCAACCGTGTTGACAAGTTTTGAGCAATAGTATAGCTCA